TGAAGCCCAGCAGGTCGAGGCTGCGGTGGCCGGGAGCGGCCACTGCACTCCAGTCTGAGCAAAAGAGTGAGACTCCAACTCAAAAAAAAAAAAAATTCTCATTTTTCTGTAAATATGCTTTTATGTTTCCCAATAAAGGGAGTTTTAATATTCAGATTTAGAGTTACCCTAAATCGTCTTTAACTGAACTAATAATTGTGTCTTCAGATTACCAGTAAATACTGGTAGCAGAAATAATACTAAAAGAAATTACAGCCAGGCTCAGTGGCTCAGCCAGTAATTCCGCACCTTTGGGAGGCTGAGGTGAGTGGACTGCCTGAGCCCGCGGGTTCAAGACCCGTCTGGGCAGACGAGACCTCATCTCTACAATAAATCAAAAAAAAAATTAACTGGGTGTTGTAGTGTGCGCCTGTAGTTCCAGCTACTTGGAAGGCTGAAGCAGAAGGATTGCTGGAACCCAGCAGGTTGAGGCTGCGGTGGCCGGGAGCGGCCACTGCACTCCAGTCTGGGCAGCAGTGAGACTCCAACTCAAAAAAAAAAAAGAAATTCCATGCTTTATCAAGAACTAAATAAAAAGGGAGAATGTCGTTCAAACCCCAAGTATACTGTAGATTTGGGAAAGTCAGAAGCAATGAATTTTAGTTTAGGAATTCTAAATTTATATTTGGCTACATTGTGACCTTTCTTTTGTGACAGGTGGTTATTTTCTTCTCTAATAAAAAAATGATAATATTTTAAACCACCTATTACGTAAAAGCAGAAGTATGACTTAGTATTTAATGTGCTTTGGAATGTACGTAGGATTCAGTTCCAATTGTTAGTTCCTAAAAGTATGACCTTTGGCAAGTTAATGTCTCTAAGGGTATGTTTCCTTATTTAGAAGATGGGCTTAAAAATGGTATCTTCTAAGATTAAAAGAGAATGAAAATAAGTTGCATATTATAAGCACTCAGTACATGTTGGCTTTTATGGATAAATATTAAATATAAAGATTTTGGTGTTTAAATCTAAAATTCCTTAATCTATAGCATTTTTAGTTGTAAATTTTTATTACTTGAGTACAACAAGGAAAAGAGTCTTATCTATCTTTTTTTTTAAATTAAGATCTCCCCTAGGGTGGTCTTGAACTCCTGACCTAAAGCACTCCTCCCACCTTGGTCTCTCAGAGTTCTAGGATTACAAGTATGTTTTATCCTTCATTCTGACCAAGTTTTATCCTTTAATAAAAGTAATTTTCTATTCTCTGGAAATAATAAGCAAATTTAGTACAACAGAAGTAGTATAGATTACTTTGCAATACTTTTAATCAAATGCATCATTTGATGTGAATTTGAATAAAGAATGGCTTAACTGTTCAATTTGAGATAATTTCTTTATCTTGGAAAAGTACTCTTAGTCACTAATTGGTACAGGGATTGAGGAGAGGATACTGGGCTATTGCTGTCAAGAGACTGGTCTTTTGACCTATCTTTATAAGGTTAGACAAGATGTTTTACCCTACTTAGCCTGTTTTCTCATCTCTAAAATGAGGACTTTGATTAGATTAGTTCTCAAACTTTTTGGTCTCAGGACCCCTTTTTAGCTCTTAAAAGTCATAGGATCCTTTCACTTAAGCCCAGGAATTCGAGGTTACAGTGAGCTATGATTGCACCACTGCTCTCCAGCCTGGGCAACAGAGCAAGACCCTGTCTCTATTTAAAAAAAGAAAAAAGAAACTGGGCTCGGTGGCTCAGCTTGTTATCCCGTTCCTTTGGAGACTGAGGTGAGTGGATAGCCTGAGCCCGCAGGTTCAAGACCCGCCTGGGCAACTTGGTGAGACCTCATCTCTACAATAAATAAAAAAAACTAGCCGGGTGTGGTAGCGCGCGCCTGTAGTTCCAGCTACTTGGAAGGCTGAGGCGGATGGATCGCTGGAGCCCAGCAGGTCGAGGCTGCGGTGGCCAGGAGCGTGCCACTGCACTCCAGTCTGGGTGACAGAGTGAGACTCCAACTCAAAAAAAAAGAAAGTTACAGGATCCCGGATCCCAAAGAGCTTTTGTTTATATAGATTAAATTAAGTGCAATCATTTTCGACATGAAAACTGAAAGATATTTTGTGTTCATTAAAAAATGACAATAAACATATATTACCATAACAAAATTTTGTGAAAAAACATGTTTTCCAAAAATAACAAGAAGAATTTATGTTCTTACAATTTTTTTATTGTCTAACTAATAGAAGATAACTCACATCTGCTTCTGCCTTCAGTCTGTTGCAATATTACATGTCACATAGCTTCTAGAAAACTCTATACTTTGAAGAAAATGAGAGTGAAAAGGGTAGATACTATTTTAGTATACTTTCAAGAAAAAGAGTGAAAAGGGCAGATAATATCTTAGTATTATTTTGAAAACATATTTGACCTGGAGGGCACCCTGACCTTATAAGAGTTTCTGGATCACTTTTTAAGGACTGTTTAATTAGATCACTCCTAGAATGTCTAAACTTTTAAAGTTTCCAAATTGGTAACCAGATACCTTAAAACTGTTTTTTTACTTTCTGGAATTATCATTTTCCTGAACTATTTATGGTGGCTTTTATCCCACGTGGAAAACTTGTCAAGCACTCATTAAATATCTCACTTACATCTCATATTCTCTCACTTCTTTATCCTTTCTGTGGTCCTGTGCTAGACCCTCTCTTTTGTATCAAATCAGCGTCTTCTTTCTCTGACAATACTTTTTGACTTCAGATCATTGCTTGAGAATGTTTTTGAAACTGTGATGGGCTCATGCCTGTAATTCCAGAATTTGGGGAGTCCTAGGTGGGAGGATCACTTGAGCCCAGGAGTTGGTGAACAATCTAGGCAACATAACAAGACCTCGTCTCGTCAAAAAATAAAAAAAAATTAGCTGGGGGTGTGGTGGTGTGTGTCTGTAGTCCCAGATACTTGGGGGGCTGGGGCAGAAGGATTGCCTAAGCTCAGGAGGTTGAGGCTGTGGTGAACCACGATCATACCACTGCCCTCTAGCCTGGGTGACAGCAAGGCCCCGGCTCAAAAAAAAAAAAAAAACACCTGTGATGATTTGGCTCCCTACAAATTATTCTATTCAATTTCATTTCGGCCTTTACTATGGCTTAGCTGTCTATACTCTTTGTCTTATTCATTCTATCAGCCTTTTAGTCCTTCCCTACAAGCTGTCCTAAACTTTTCTACTCTTAAATACTGAAATTTCCACTACTTTCTTTCTCTACTTTCATAATGCCTTATACCCATTTTCAAAGAAAATTGAAGCCTTAAGAAATGTTCGTCTCTATCTCTAATGATCAATTTTTATTCTCATCTCTCTCCTGTATCAAAGAGTATGCATGTAAAAATCCTTCCTGTTCTCGATTAAATTTCTTTCTTTCTTTTTTTTTTTTTGAGTCGGAGTCTCACTCTGTCACCCAGACTGGAGTTCAGTGGCATGCTCCCGGCCACCACAGCTTCGACCTGCTGGGCTCCTGCAATCCTTCCGCCTCAGCCTTTCAGGTAGCTGGAACTACAGGCGTGTGCTACCACTCCCAGCTAATTTTTGATTTACTGTAGAGACGAGATCCTGCCAAGTTGCCCAAGTGGGTCTCAAACCCGTGGGCTCAGGCAATCCACTCACCTCAGCCTCCCAAAGTGCTGGGTTTACAGGCTGAGCCACCGAGCTTGGCTCTCTGTTAAATTTCACTTTTTCTTTTCCACACTTTGTTTCATTCTTGCATGGTTCTTTCCCTTCTTGAAAGGAGCCTTCGTTTAAACTTACTGCCTCTTCTAGCTACTATGCTGTTTCTTTCCTTCCTTTCACAGCTAGACTTCAAAAGTGAGGGCCATACTCTCCTTTCTTTTTTTCACTCTTCATGAAACTTCTTAAGCTTTTGAGTTTTTTTACTATCACTGTTCCTGCTCAGCAGCATTTAATACTGGTGACCACTCCTTTTTTTTAAAGAACAAATTGGAGTTGAAAGGTCATAATGGAGCTATAATGAAGGTTAGTTCAAATGCAAGATATTTTTACCTTATTGAAATACTCAACCAGGCTCGGGGGCTCAGCCTGTAATCCCATGCTTTGGGAGGCCGAGGTGAGTGAATTGCCTGAGCCCGCGGGTTTGAGACCCACTTGGGCAACTTGGCAAGACCTCATCTCTACAGTAAATCAAAAAAAGTAACCGAGCGTGGTAGCGCGCGCCTGTAGTTCCAGCTACTTGGAAGGCTGAGGCAGAAGGATCGCCGGAGCCCAGCAGGTGGAGGCTGCGGTGGCCAGGAGTGTGCCACTGCACTCCAGCCTGGGTGACAGAGTGAGACTCCAACTCAAAAAAGAAAGAAAGAAGAAATACTCATCTCCATTCTGTGATCCAAGCATGTGTCATAGAATCAAAACTACTATGCTAAGATTCAGAAAATTGGATTCTAACTATGACTAGTAACCATGAGAACTTGGGCAAGTTACTTTACTGGGTCAGGCTTCATTTTTCTCATCTGTGCAATAAGAATACCTCTGCCTACCTCATAAATTGCTGTGAAGATTATATTAAGTAATTATTAAAAAGTCCCTGGGAAACTTCAAAGCATCATACAAAATATGTTTGTATTAGTTATTTTCATTATTACTTCTTGAATTGCTCTCTGTGTTTTCCTGAAAGGGTACTTTTCAGGATGCATTTCATTGTTGCTAAGATGATCGTCTTTACCCAAATTTTTTCTCAGAAAGAATTTATCCACTCTCCTAGCTTTAACAGTAATTCTTCTCAGTTAGGAAACTTTTTCACATTCTCAGATAGATGTTCTAAGCTTTTGTCTGCCACCTAAGTACCAATTCTGCACTTTCAATTGCCTACTAAACAGTTAAGTAATTTATCTTGTGTGAATAAGGCACACAAGAGAATATAAAGGCACCATCCCTACCCTTAAGGAACTTCCTAGCTGATAGAAAAGAACTGTCTATAAACAACAATAAAATTGGGTAAAATGAGATAAATCCCAAAAAAGAAATAAAAATAGAATTGCTAAAATGTAGTGGGAATATAAGAGAAGCAGTTCTTTAAACTGCTCTAGGTATAAATTCGGTGAAGGATACAAGTGGCTGATTCAGGGTATAGAAAACTATCAGGGTATGTGAAGGAAAAGAAAAAAAAATTAAGTAATCTTTAAAAAAGTAAATATGATTATTTCTAAACTGTGCTATTTCCTCCTCAAATGCTCCATATCTAAAACCAGAGCCAAATTTCCCTTCCTCCACCCTGTTTCCAAACGATGAATTACTTTCCATTATTGCTTCAGATTGCAGCCTTACATGAGTCTTTGGCTCTAAACAAATGGTTGACTCATTATGTCTGGCACATGCTTTGTATTCTCTGAGACCTTTTTCCCTTCCCTCACTTCCTCATCCCTTCCGCTTTTTCCTATTTAAAAATTCAGTTCAAATTGTTCTGTCAAAACACTTTTCAGGACCATTTTAGATTGAACTTGTATCTCCCTTTTCAGATATTTTTAAAAAATATTAATTACATAGTATTTTTACTTGACAAATACGAAGTGCCTTATTTTTGCTGATTGTTATTTCAAGCCATTACAGTACTTAAATTATACAGTATTTTATAATTTATCCCATGTTTATACTTTGCCTCTGATTACATTACAAACCATTCAGAACAGAGCATGTATTTTATATGTATCTGTGTGTCTCCTATATTGTCTCATATGGCAACTATATATAGAATTATGTCTTTGGGTTTATTTTGTAAATCATAGTCAGGCCTAAGTGAAAAACATTCTTATTAAGTTTGCTTACCTATTTTTGACTGCAAATTCTATTTCCCAGTTTATAACTTTTGTACTTTGTATGGAGTATTTGTCTGTCTTTTGCTCTATCTTGTATTTGAGGTTATATTTTCTTCTAGTTGATTGGAAATAAAAATAGTTGAATTGAACCAGAATAATACACAGAATTTCCCCAGCCTGGGCAACTTGGAGAGGCCTCATCTCTACAATAAATCAAAAAAGTTAGCTGGTGTGGTGGTGCATGCCTATAGTTCCTGCTACTTGGAAGGCTAAGGCAGAAGGATCACTTGAGCCCAGCAGGTCGAGGCTGCGGTGGCCATGAGTGTGCCAGTGTACTACAGTCTGGGCGAGATTCCCATTCAAAAAAAAAACAAGAATTTCTAATTGTTGTTCTCTATCTTAGAAAAATTTTAGCTTTCTTTGAGATTTCAAATTTCATCTAAAATTTGAATTTTTAAAAACATTTGAGATGACTTTTTTAGGTAAGTTTTATTTTTTTATAGGTATGGAAAAGTTGAGGCTACTCGCATATTGTTAGAGAAAGGAAAGTGCAATCCAAACCTTTTAAATGGACAACTTAGTTCTCCTCTTCATTTTGCTGCTGGAGGGGGACATGCTGAAATAGTACAGATTCTCCTAAACCATCCAGAAGTTGACAGAGTAAGTTATTTTCCCGTTTTTTTCCCTTAATATTCAAGCAGTAAATGGGCATCCCCCTTGGGTCTTCTCCCACTCTGGTAGCTTTTCTGTCCTTTCCGTAATTTCTACTTTTTTACCAAAAAAAAAAAAAAAAAAAAATTCAAGCAGTAAATAACAAGTAATGACACTAAAATGTTCAATTGTACACTTGAGAGGTCAGCTTGAAAAATAAAAATAAATTCCGTTACTTTATAGAATAAGTAACATTTATGTATGAGTTGTAATTTTCAACATAAATTGTTTTAAAAAGTTTTTATAGTAGTAAAACACCTTACATAAAATAAACAATTTTGATCATTTTTAGGTGTACTGTTCAGTGGCAGTAAGTACATTCACATTATTGTGCAACAATCACCACAATCTGTCTTTAGAATGTACATAAAATTTAACCTCTTTTCATTTTATATTGTATTTCCCCAAAAATATGTTGAAAAAGGATAAAAGTTTTCCACTCATTTTCTAGAATTATCAAGAAAAAGTAGTTCATAAAGGAGAAAATAGTATTAACAAAATCTTGGTCATAGCTATATCAGAACTTTTACAAAATAATAATCCCATTGGTTAGTGCTTTTATCTTTGGAAATTCGTGTTCATTTTAAGTATACTAAATATGGTTAATATTAATGCTTGCCAACAGTCTATTTTTCATGAAACTTTGATTAATTGAATGACATTTTCCCTTAGAAAACTGTATATTTGTAATGTTTTTTTCCTTTATTTTTCTCCCACATTTCTAGCACATAACAGACCAACAAGGAAGATCCCCATTAAATATTTGTGAAGAAAACAAACAAAATAACTGGGAAGAAGCTGCAAAGTTGTTGAAGGAAGCCATTAACAAACCAGTAAGAATTATCTTCATAAATAGGTGGAACCCAGAATAGTATTTAAATTGATAGATAGTTTGAGGATCTGGAGCAGGAGTGGAAAGATGAAAGAATGAATGGCTTCTTTACTGCTATAAAACGTCATTGTTAAGCTTCATAGGTACTAAATTTATCATCCCTGACATTCAGACATTTATTCTTGCGTAACAAAATAAAACTTGGAGAAATAAATAAGTAAAATTTACAAAACACTTAAAATTAATCTAATTTTCAGGATAATTACTATACTTTATATACTGACTATACATAATTTTAAGCTATTCATTGAAGCATATCTCTGTACTAAGGCCTTTTAAGTAACATTTTATCTTTTTAAATGAAAGCATTGCCCATCATTCATTTATTTTGTCCCAGCAAATTAGTTTTTGTACAGACTCATTTTCCTTCTCACAAAAGTAAAATAGATGATTTCCTAGCTCTTTTATTCTGCTAATTCATCCTGGCCTTTTCATCTAATTAATCCCAAAATAAATGCATAAATCTAATGCTAGCACACATAGCTCTTAAAAGAATATTATATTAAAAAGAGTAAAGGTTACTTTATAATCAGCAGTGACATTAAGATTCAGAAGAATTAGCAATGAGAAGAAATTTAATTATGTCTAAAAGTTGTAGTGATAAAACTATCATTCATTTACTTTAACTTTTTGGGGGAACAGGATCTCTCTGTGTTTCGCAGGGTGGAGTGCAGGCACAATCATTGTACACTGTAGCAGCTGTCTCCTGGGTTCAAGTAGTCCTCCTGCCTCAGCCTCTCATGTAGATGGGGCTATAGGCCTGTGCTACCACACCCAGCTACTGTTAATTTATAAAATGTTTGGAACCTTGTGAACCAAATAAAAAGAGTTATACCAATGGATGAGAAAAAAGGCTTTATTCTTACAGATATAATCCTTATACCTAAGCCTTTCCAGTCATTAGCCATTAACTAGACAATACTTATTTGTTGAGTATTTCTGTGAGTTTATTATTGCAAAAGACTGAAAATGGTAAGGAATATGCGATCTTTGCCTTTAAGAAATGTTAGACACATACTTACCACACATTAATACACATTTTATCTAAACACTAGTCCAACAGCTCGAGACAGTCAAGGAAATATTAATAGATAAGTAGTTATAGGCACCCTTATATTATAATTTACTGCAATTTATTTTCCAGCTGTATAGTTTTTATTCCTGACGTAGTTGTTATATTGTACTTGGTTCACATAAGAGGAATCGGGTCCTTTTATCCAAAATGAACTGATCTGGAAGTTACTTGGGGACATCATTTACTTCCCATAACAATAAATATCTATAGAGAATGCCACTACTCTGTAGAATTTTCTGAACTGGGGGAAGGAAACTGACTCAAAAGTTTATTGTTCAATAACTTTTACCTGCAAAGTCTTCCATCACAGATGCTGCTTAAGACAAGTTATTGCTGGTACACATTTCTATAGTATGATTTGTGTTTGTGACCAACTAGATTCATGAAGTACTTGACTAACACCAGAATCAGTAACCAAATCTGTATCCCTCATATGCTGTTTACATTGTACATTAAAGCCTTTAAAACATCTCGGATTTGAAATTCAATATTTTTTTGAAAGCCATGTTACTCAGTTTCTCAAACTTATTTGACAATGAAACATCCAGAAAACATTTTTTAAAATATTTATTTATGTATCTATCTATCCATTTATTTATTTATTTTTGAGTCAGTCTCACTCTGTTGCCCATACTAGAATGCCATGGCATGATTACGACTTACCACGGCCTTGATATTCTGGGTTCATGTGATCCTTCTGACTGAGATTAAAGGTGTGCATCACCTTGCCTGGCTAATTTTTAAATTTTTTTTGTAGAGATGACGTCTCACTGTGTTGCCTAGCCTGGTCTTGAAATCCTGTGCTCAAGCAGTACTCCAAAAGTGCTGGGATTATAGTCATGAGCCACCGCACCTGGCCAGAAAATATCTTATAAAATAAATAATGGAAATGTTTTAAAAATTCTGCTAGCAGATTCTCACTTGAAGCAGTTTTTATGGTATTTTACATGTTAGAAATCTATTGTAAAGCATATGAAGTTGAAGTATCTTGTTGGATTGTGACATAATTTGTAAGCAGGTTGCATAATTTATCATTTTTTGTCCTAGTATGAAAAAGTTCGAATATACAGAATGGATGGATCATATCGTTCCGTTGAATTGAAGCATGGGAATAATACCACAGTACAGCAGATAATGGAAGGAATGCGTCTCTCTCAAGAAACACAGCAATATTTTACAATTTGGATTTGTTCAGAAAACCTCAGTAAGACAGTTTTTATTATGTTCTGTAAACTTCATTATTCCTTTTTGAAGTAGGTTATATATTTAAGTATAACATGTTTATTCTTGACCTTGAAATTTTGAAGTGATAAATTATTAGTGTTTAAACTGCTGAAACAGGTAAGTTTTTTTATATTGTGTGTGTATAGCATGAGAGGAATCAGGTTCTTTTATCCAAAATGAACTGGCTGGGATGTTATTTGGGGACATTATTTACTTCCCTATAAAGTGAAAATCTGTGCCGCCCCCCCGCCCCTTCCCTGCTTCATTCAAAGCTTTTTTAAAGTAGTAAAAGCCAAAACTTTTCTTCTCTGGCAGTGGTATTTGATTTGAATGCCTGGATTTTAGGTGCTTATCTCAAAATAATGCAAATGTTATTTTTTTGGTATATTTTCTATTTTATTTAAAATCCACCTAATGTCACTATAGATTTCTGTCATTTATTGTAAATCCATAAATAATTTATCTGATTGATGTGATTGGTTATTTAATGGTTAAGTTGTATCTCTTTAATACCAAATTTTACTTATAATGTCATAATTAAATAGACTATAATGGAATTAAGAATTTTACACATAGTTAATAAAATTTGGTTAAGAATTATTCTTCTAATTCTTATATTCTTAAGAAAACAGTTCACTACAAATTGTGTTGTAATATTAAAATAAATATTAATTTTAGTTTTAAATTTCATTTGTGAGTATGCAGTACTTAAGTGCAGATTGTTTAATAGAAAGTTTTATACATTGATGTAATTGATTTATTTTTACATTATCATTTATAAAAGGAAAGCTGTTTTTCAGGCCTTCAACTCAAACCGTATCATAAACCCTTGCAACATGTTCGTGACTGGCCAGAAATTCTTGCTGAATTGACTAATTTGGATCCTCAAAGGGAAACACCACAACTTTTCCTAAGAAGAGATGTAGGACTTCCTTTAGAAGTTGAAAAGAAGGTTTGCTTATAATTTTTATTTACATTTAAATGCACAGAATCTGTTAATTTCTATTGTGGTCACTAGAGGCAGAAATTGTGCTGTTTCTATACTCGTAGATTTTTCTTCTGTTTTTCTGTTTAATTCTTATATGCCTATGGTAAGTGGTAGAGTTTCAGTTAGTCCACTTACAAAAAGCCCTTGGTTGGTTTCTTTCATTTCTACTCACATTGTCTTAAGAATGCAGGTGAAATAAAGAAGTTGTCCTAAAGAAAATTAGCAAGTTACACAGAAAAAAATTGTTTTAGAAAAGTTTAAAAGGAAGTGCAATATTAAGAATAAACTTAATAAAGGGCTGATCCTTTGTGTAAATTCAAAGGAGGGAAGAGGTATGTTGATATGGGAAAGAACAGAAAAACCATTCTGGGTAGAGATTATGTTTGCAAAGGGAACACATGAAAATTATTCTCAATAGTCAGTACATAGCTATTCTTTACTCAAGTAGAGAACTTTATAGATAGTATAAAATGAGACTAGTTTTACATTTGATGAAAAGAGGTCTGCTCTAAACAATTACGTTTGGGTTTGAACTACTGGAAACTTTAAAGAAGGAGTGAGATAAGAAGAATGAATAAACAAGGGAGAAATCTGAAGGAGAGATTATAACAGCTTAAACTAAGCATGATAGTTTAAATATGGCGGTAGCTGTGAAAATTTTAAAAAAATTATTCTACAATCTCATAACATTGGTGAAAAAAAAAATACATTTTGTGATTCCTTTTCCAAGGAAATATTAAACAGACAAAGCTAAACAAATTTCAGCGCTTGAAAATTTCAACAGCTATGTCCAAACTTGGTAAACATGTATAACTATTTATATATTTATACTGTCCCTCTTTTATTATCAAGTCAAAAGTAGATTTGATCCTCTTAGCCAAATATACTGGGAGTTACAGAAAAATTTCTATGAAATGTACCAGAAACTACAGTCTTAATTATTTGTTCAAAATGTGAGTTTAAATCACATTAGTAGAATGAAGTATGAGGTAGGGGAACCACATGATCATCTCATTGGATGCAGAAGAGGTATTTGACAAAATCCAGCACCCTTTCGTGATTTAAAAAACTCTCAGAAAGCTAGGAAAAGAAGGGAACCTCTCAGCATGATAAAGGGCATTTATAAAAAATCCATAGCTAATATCATACTCAATGGTGAAAGACTAAACACTTATCTCCTAAGAAACAGCACAAAATAAGGATACTCACTTTCACCAATACTACTTAACGTGTGGAAGTTCTTGCTAGAGCGGTTAGACAAGAAAAAGAAAAGACATCCAAATTTGAAAGTAAAACCGTCTCTATTTGCAAATGACTTTCTATATATAGAAAATCTGAAAAAAATCCACACACACCCCCCAAAAAAAAAAACTACTAGAGCTAATAAATTAGCTCAGCAAAGTTTCAGGGTACAAGCTGAACACACAAAAAATCAGTCATGTTACTATACACCAGCAATGACCATTCCCCAAACAGTAGCATCTAAGAAGATATACTTGTACATTGAATACTACAAAACACTGCAGAAAAGTAAGACCTAAATAATTAGAACTATATCTCCATGTTCAATGATAGGAATGTTTAATGTTGCTGAGATGTTGATACTAGGCCAGGCACAGTGGCTTACACTTGTAATCCAGGCACTTTGGGAGGCTGAGGTGGGAGGATTGCTTGAACCCAGGAGTTTGAGACGGGCCTAGATACCATAGTGAGAACTTAACTCTACAAAAAAAATCAAAAAAATTAGTTGGACGTGGTGGCACACACCTATAGTTCCAGCTACTCAGGAGGCTGAGGTGGAATTGCCTGAAGCCAGGAGGTTGAGGCTGCCATGAGCCGTGATTGTACCACTGCACTACTACCTGGGTGACAGAGTTAAACCCCAACTCAAAAAATAAAAATAAATAATATGTCACTACTAGTAGAGTGATCTGTAGATTAAATGCAATCCCTAACAGAAGTCCAACAGCATTTTTGGCAGAAATGGAAAACACAGTTCTCAAATTCATATGGAATGGCAAAGCACCTCAAATAGTCAAAGCTTGAAGAAAGAAGAATAAAGTTGAGAGCTTCACATTTCCCTATTTCAAAACATACTACCGAGCTACAGTAATCAAAACATTGTGGTACTTGCATAATAATAAACATACAGACCAATGGAATAGAATAGAGAATTCAGAAATAAACTTATACATCTGTGGCCAATTTATTTTTGACAAGGGTATCACACCCATCTAATGGAGAGAGAATATTCTGTTCAACAGATGGTATTGGAGCAACTGTAAATTCAGGTTGCAAAAGTATGAAATTGGACTCCAACCTCACATTATATACAAAAATGAATTTAAAGTATATCATGATCTAAATATATGAGCTAAAACCAGGAAGCTCATAGAAGAAAACAAAGGAGTAAATCTTCATGACCTTGGATTTGTCAGTGGATTCTTAGGTATGACACTAAAAGCATGAACAACAAAAGAAATAATAGGGCACTATCAAGAAAGTGAAAAGACAACCAGCAGAATGGGAGAAAATATTTGCAAGCTGTAGATCTGATAAGGGTTTATTATTCACAATATATAAAGAACTTATACACTTCCACAATAAAAAGATAAGATAACCCAATTAAAAATTGGTCAAAGAACTTGAATAATATTTCTTCAGTGAACCTGTACAAATGGAGAACAAGCACATGAATAAATGTTTAACATCATTAGTTATTAGGGAAGTACAAATCAAAGCCAGGTGAGACACCAAACCCACAGAGATACCTATAAAAAAAACAAGCAAATCGAGCATGGTGGCTCAAGTCTGCTGAGAGAACCACTTGAAACCAGAGTTTGAGACCAGCCTTAGCACATAGCAAGACTCTGTCTCCAAAAAAAATTTTTTTTAATTTTCCAAGTATGGTGGTATGCACCTGTAGTCCTAGCTACTAGCTAATTGGGAGACTGAGGTGGGAGGATCACTGGACCCAGTGGATGGTGGTTACAATGAGCTGTGAATACACTACTATACTCCAGCCTGGTTGATAGTGTGAGATCCTGTCTCTTAAATCAATCAAGATAGAAAATAACAAATGTTGGTGAGGATGTAGAAACACTGGAACCCAAGTACTTTGTAGGTGGAAATGTAAAATAATGCAGCCACTATGGAAACAGTTTGGTGATTCTTCAAAAATCTAAGCATATAATTATCATATGGGCTAGCAATCTCCCTCCTAGGTAAATGCTTGAAAGAATTGAAACTGTACTCAAACAGACACTTGTATGTCACTGCAGCATTATTCATAATAGTCAAAAAGTGGAAGCACCAGCCTGGGCAACTTGGGGACAGAATTTCTGTTTGGGGTGTTCTCAAAGTTGTGGAAATAGATAGTGGTGACATTTGCACAACATTGTGAATGTAATGCCACTGAATTATACATTTAAAAATGGTTAAAATTTTATGCTATGTCTATTTAACCACAATTTTTAAAAATGTATTAAATCTATAAAATCTGCACATACTCAAAATATACTCAGCCTGTTTTCTTTCTCCACCCAAGTAATATCTTTAAAGTTAACTGGTAGGAAAGGAGTAGTCATGATTAACTAACTGTTATTATCTACTCAAACTTTTCAAATTTACTAAGTCAGTTTTTACCAGAAAAACATGCTTTCATTTAGTCTCTTCTTTCCAACATTTTGTTTTGAGAACTTTTAAATACCATAGGAAAGTTGAAAAGTAATACAATTTTCAACATATTCATTAGAATCATAACTGTTAACAATTTGCCTCCTCTTTTCTTTTTTGTCTTTGTGAACCATTTTAAAATTAGTTGCAGATATGGTGCTTCATGCCTACATGTTTTGTCATGTATCTCCCAAGAATAAGGAGGTACCCACATACCACAATATTATTTTCAACCTAATAAAATTAATATTTACATAACATGTCTGATCCAAATTCAGATTTTTCCTTATGATTTCAAAAAGTTTATTGTAGCTCCCACCTGCAGGATCTAGTCAAGGTTCTCATTTGGCTGTCTAGTTCATTTTAAAATCTAGAATACCCCTTAATCTTTTTTTTCATGAAACTCAGTTTTTAACATTGTTAAGAGTATTATAAGACAGAAAAATAGAATTTAGTATGACAGAAATCATTTTTACCATAAGGACTTGAATCATTGTGAATTCTATTTGGAAATATTCCATTTATATTTGAAAGTATTCATTTGGAAATGTTATAATTGGTGATTATTTCCAAGTAGATCTGTATTCTGTAGGCTAGTGTTTCTCAATTATTATGAATCTTATTGGATAAAATGAAACTATGGAGTTTTTAAAACAAAAATATCTAAACTCTCCTTTACTATCATTTGAAAGTCTTTTTAATAAAATAAAAATTTGTTTTAAAACAAGCTTTTTAAAATGCACCTGTCCTTCTGGGAATTAACACATTTCTTTGTATCTTCAAGTTTACTACTATATTGTATGAAACATAGTTAACAGAAAAATGTTTCAGGAATATAAAGATTTAGGTTAAATTGTGCTAGAAATTATCCATATTCATAAATTGATGATAAGATTGTTAGCCAATAAATCAGGGAATAGCAAACTATAGCCTATGGTCATATCCTACCAGCTGCCTATTTCTGTATATCACATGCACTAATAATTTTGTTGTTGTTGTTTTGAGTTGGAGTCTTACTCTGTCACTCAGGCTGGAGGATAGTGGCACTTTCAGACCTGCTAGGCCCAGGTGATCCTTCCACCTCAGCCTTCCAAGTAGCTGGAACTGCAGGCATATGCCACTATGCCTGGCTAACTAAAAAAAAAAAAATTTTTTTATTGTAGAGATGATGTCTTGCCAAGTTGCCCAAGCTGGTCTCGAACCTGCAGGCTCAGGCAATCCTCTCACCTCGACCTTCCAAAGTGCTGGGATTATAGGTGTGAGCCACCACGCTTGGCCTTCGTTTTTAATGGTTAAAAAAATCAGAAGAATAATACTTCATGTCATATAAAAACATTATAAAATTCAAAATTCAGTGTCCATACATAAAGTTTTATTAGAGCACCACCACACCCATTTGTTGATGTTTGTGGTTGCTTTTGTGGTACCGTGCCAGAGTTGAGTTGCCACAGAGATTATATGGCTTACAAAGCTTAAAATATTACTTTCTGGCTCTTAACACAAAAAACATTTGTCAATTCCTACTCAAAGAAATAACAGCTCATTTATGTACAAAAATATGTAGCTTTCCTTTTCCTGTTTCAGACAGTGACAAGTTGTTCAGTTGTAAAAGGAAATTGTAGCCTAATAACCAAATTATGCTTTTTTTTAAAGATTGAAGACCCACTAGCTATTCTTATTCTCTTTGATGAAGCCAGATATAACTTATTAAAGGGCTTTTATACAGCTCCTGATGCTAAACTGATAACATTGGCAAGTCTACTGTTGCAAATAGTTTATGGAAATTATGAGAGTAAGAAACACAAGCAAGGTTTTCTAAAGTAAGTATTTAATACAGTGCATGGTCTTGTGCTATGTTGAAGATTCTGTTTAATCTAGAAAATTTTAAAATGTTATTAGAAAATATTTATACATTACATTGGTTTAGAATTAAATAATATAAGACATAGAATGAGAAAAAAAGTAGAGCATTCTTAAAGCTATACTCTCCAAAATTATTTTTCTTATATTTAACTATAGTTTGATATACTTTGTATTTTTTCTTTATCTTTACTATATGTTTAAATAAGCTCACTAAAACCTGACTTGAATAAGTAGTCAAAGAATTTCATAAGACAGAAGTACTTAAGAATCCCACCATAAAAACTAGTTAGTCTTTGAGATAGGACACAGATTTTAGCACATATAAATTCAGTCATTATAGTTTTCAGTTTCCAAAAGTATTTTCTGGTTATTGAAAGAAGAAACATTTCTCTAAGTTGATAATGTTAGGATTGTAGCTTTTTGCTTAAAATTTTTGGAGTTGTCTGATATTTTACAGGACTGTATTTTCAACTTAAAAAGTATATTACTTAAAGATATTTGTGACAGAATGCCTATTGTACTTTAGTTACTAAACGTTATTTATTTAAATGATGTTGGCATGTGTGTTTTCAGTGAAGAAAATCTGAAATCCATTGTACCTGTTACCAAACTGAAAAGTAAGGCACCTCACTGGACAAATCGAATACTTCATGAATACAAGGTAAACTGTTTAGTAGAAATAAAAAAAGATATTTTGTATTCTAGTTGAAATTTTGTTAGTGTTATTAATGTTTTAAACAGGTATATTCAATTTATAGTCCTGAAATTAAAAATGGATCTTCTAATTCACAATGCCTGAAATTGAAAGTTGCAAGATATTTTTATTTTTAGTAATCTTTTACTGAATATTTTCTATATGCTGAACACTATGGTTAAGGGTTAACGATAAAAATTGGAAATAATATGCTATCCCTGACCATGAGGCAATTAAAACCTAATAGAATAGACTATATTTTTAAACCTTGACTTTTTTTTTAAATATTATGATCACAAGAGAAAAAATACTTTTGATATAAGGTGCCTTTGGGTAATGTCTTGATTTTAGAAACTGCTTAGTTGACCTACTTGGTTTATCAAACATACTTTCTCCTTTCACATCTCTTTTATTTTTGTTTTACCCTGTTTGTTTTAGAATCTCAGTACAAGTGAAGGTATCAGTAAAGAAATGCATCACCTTCAGCGCATGTTCTTGCAGAACTGTTGGGAAATACCTACATATGGAGCAGCATTTTTCACAGGACAGATATTTACAAAGGCAAGCCCTAGCAATCATAAAGTTATCCCTGTGTATGTGGGAGTGAACATAAAAGGACTTCATCTCCTCAACATGGAAACCAAGGTAGATTTTTAGCTGTTTTTTACTAATCACATCATAAAAGAAACAACAGCACCAGCCTACACAAAGAATCTAGAAATGGCATATATATATATGATTATTCATTATAACTATTCATTGCAAAAGACGAGGAGGAAAACTAAATGACTGTCAACAGGTGGCTAATATATTATATTTCTGCATTGAAATACCTTTCAGCCATACAAAAGAATCAATTTTTTTTTTTGAGGAACAATCTCTGACATACATTTAGTGATAAACAAGGTGCTGAACAGAATTTAGTATTCTACTTACCATTGGTATAAAAATGGGAGGAAGTGAGGACAGTCTTTATATAAATATACATTGCTTGTGTATGTATAAAGTACTTCTTAAAGCCTTTAGAGAAGGGAAACAGGTAACTGGGAACAGGAGTTAGGAGGGAGACTTCGGAGACTTTTCACTTTATACCTGTCTTATTTCAGGCTACTATAACAAAGTACCATAGACTGGTTGGTTCATAAACGACAGAAGTTTATTTCTCAGTTAATGGGAACTGGAAGTCCGAGATCAGAGCGTTAGATGGTTGGGTTCTGATGAGAGCCTTCTTCTGGGTAGGAGACTGTCGACATCTTTTAGTGTCCTCACATGGCAGAAAGAACAAGAGATATCTAGAGTCTCAGTTTTTAAAGGCATTAATCCTATTCCTGAGGGCCCTACTCTTATGACATAATTATCTGCCAAAGGCCCTGCCTCCTAATTCTGTCACATTGAGGTTAGGATTTCATACCAGTTGGTGGAGGGGGGACAGCAGGGGGGGACAAACATTCAGTCCTTAATAAAATCATTCAGGGGGGGACATTCAGTCCATAGTAAAATTTTGCAATAAAATCATTTTGCATATATGTGACACAAAGGCATCAATTTGAAAATTAGAATTAATTATAAGAACGTTTTAAGGGACAGAATGAGGTGTGGAAGAGATTACAAACATCCACTGGAATACTCCAGCGCTTTCGTTTGTTTTGTTTTTTGCATGACATTTTTTTATTGGTACATAATAGTTGTACATATTTATGGTACATGTGATATTTTGATACATGCATATAATGTATAATGATCAAATCAGGGTGTTTAGAATATTTGTCATCGCAAACATTTATGATTTATTTGTGTTGAGAGCATTTCAATTCTACTCTTCTAGCTATTTTGAAGTATACAAAATAACTATAATTTTCCTATAATTTTCCTACTGTACTGTTGAACAATAGAACATATTCCTTCTGTCTAACCATATATTTGTACCAATTAACCAACCTCTCTTTATCCCCTCAACCCTTTCCATCCTCTGGTAATCGTTATTTTACTCTCTTGAGATCTCTTTGAAATCAGCTTTTTTAGCTCCCACATATGAATGAAAACATGCTATATTTTTGTTTCTGTGCCTGACTTATTTCCCTTAACAAAATGACCTTCAGCTCCATCCATATGATTGCAAATTATAGTATTTCATTCTTTTTTATGGCTGAATAGTACTTCATTGTATATAAATGCCACTTTTCCTTAATCCATTCATCCATTGATGAACATTTAGGTTGATTCCATATCTTTGCTATTTTGAATAGTCCAGCAGTAAACATGGGGGTGCAAGTATTCCTTTGATATACTGCTTTCTTTTCCTTGGGAAAAACTAGTAGTGGAATTACAGTTTCATGTGCTAGTTCTGTTTTTAAGTTTTTGAGAAACCTAGTTTACATTCCCAACAACACTATAAAAGTTCCCTTTCCTCTACATCCTCACTAGCATTTATTATTTTTTGCCTTTTTGATAATAACCATTTTAAATAGGGTGAGATGGTATTAATTTCCTTGATTAGTGATATAGAGCATTTTTTCATATACCTGTCAGCCATTTATATGTCTTTTGAGAAATATCTATTTACATCCTTTTTAACTTTTTTTTCCCCCGTTCCTTGGATATTCTGGATATTCATCCCTTATCAGAATATTAGTTTGCAGATATTTTCTCCTATTCAACAGGTTGTATCTTCACTCTGTTTATTATTATGTTTGCTGTACAGAAACTTTATAGTTTAATGTATTTCCATTTGTCTGTTTTTGGTGTTACTTGTGCTTTTAAAGCCTTGACCATAAAATCTTTGCCCAGAACAATGTCCAAACGTATTTCCCCTGTGTTTTCTTCTTGTAGTTTTATAGTTCAGGTCTTACATTTGGGTTTTTGATTCATACTGAGTTGATTTCCATGTATAGTGAGAGGTAGGGGTCTAGTTTCATTCTTCTGCATATGGATATTCAGTTTTCCCAGCAACATTTATTGAAGAGGGCGTTTTTTCCCCAAGGTATGTGATTGGTACCTTTGTCAAAAATCAGTTGGCTATAATGCCAGGATTTATTTTGGGGTTCTCTGTTACATTGGTCCATGTGTCTGTATTTTTAACAATACCATACTGGTTTGGTTACTGTAGCTTTGTGTAGTATATTTTGAAGTCAGATAGTGTGATGCTGCCAGCCTTGTTCTTTATTTCTCAGTATTGCTTTGGCTTTTGAGAATCTTTTGTGATCTCGTGTGAATTTTAGGATTTTTTTTTTCTATTTGTGAAGAATGTCATTGGTATTTTGATAAGGATTACATTGCATTTGTAGATCTCTTTGGATAGTATTGCTTTTACCAATATTAATTCTTCCAGTCCATGAGGCATGGAATATCTTTCCATTTTTGGGGATGTTCTCTTTGGTTACTTTCATCATTGTTTTATAATTTCTGAGGTAAAGGAATTTTACCTTCATAGTTAAATCTACTCCTAGGTATTTTGTTTGTTTAGCAACTGTTGTAAATGGGATTGTTTTCTTGATTTCTCTTTCAGTTAGTTCATTATTGGTGTATAGAAATGCTATTTATTTTTATATGTGGATTTTGTATGCTGCGACTTTACTGAATTTATTTACCAGTTCAAACAATTTTTGTAAAGTCTAGGTTTTTCTATATAAAAGATCATGCCACCTGCAAAAAGGGACAATTTGTCTTGTATTTTCCAATTTGGATGCCTTTTATTTCTTTATCTTGCCCGATTGCTCTGGTTAGGCCTTCCAGTACTATGTTGAATAGAATGGTAAAAGTGGGCATCTTTGTCTTACTCCAGTTATTAGAGGAAAGGATTTCAGCTTTTCCCCTTTCAGTATGATGTTAGCTGTAGGTTTGTCATATTTAAATATGGCCTTTTTTATGTTGAAATATTTTCCATCTATGTGTAACTTGTTGAGATTTTTGTTTTGTTTGTTTGTTTGGTGCGTTTGTGTTGAGGTCTCACTCTGTTGCCCAACTGGAGTGCAGTGGCACACTCACAGTGTATCACAGCCTTGACATCTTGGGCTCAGGCATTCCTTCTTCCTCAGCCTCTTGAGTAGCTGGGACTACAGGTGTGTGCCACAATGCCTGGCTTACTTTTTGCTTTTTTTGTAGAGATAAGGTCTCACTAGGTTGCCTAGGCTGTTCTCGAATTCCTGGGTTCAAGCAGGCCTCACAAAGTGCTGGGATTACAGGCATGAGCTACCATGCCTAACTAAGAATTTTTTTAATGAAGCAATGTTGGATTTTATTAAATTCTTTTTCTGTATCTGTTGAAATAATTACATAGTGTTTGTCCTTCATTCTGTTGATGTGATTTGTCACATTTAATGATTTGCATATGTTGAATCATCCTTGCATCCCTAGGATAAAACCCACTTAATCATGGTGTATTATCTTTTTTATGGGTTGTTGAATTTGGTTTGCTCATGTTTTGTAGAGAGTTTCTGCATCTGTGTTTATCAAGGATATCTGCCTGTTGTTTTGTTGTTGTTGTGTACTTTTCTGGTTTGGGTATCAGTCTGATTCTGGTCTTGTGGGATAAGTCAGGGAGAATTTCCTCTTTAATTTTTTGAACTGGTTTTAGAAGAATTTTTGTTAGTTCTGCTTTATAGGTTTGGTAGAATTCAGCAGTGAAGCCGTCTCTGATCCTGGGCTTTTCTTTGTTGAGAGACCTTTTATTCCTGATTCAACCTCATTACTTTTTGTCTATTGAGGTTTTCTTTTTCTTTATAGTTCAGTCTTGGTATCCTGGAATTTATCTTTTTTCCTGTAGGTTTTTCAGTTTGTTAGTGTATCATTGTTTTTAATATTCTCTAATGATCTTTTATATATCTATAGTATCCATTGTAATGTCTTCTTTTTCATTTCTGATTTTATTTATTTGGATTGTTTTTTTTTCTTGGTTAGCCTACCTAGCAGTTTCTCAATCTTATCTTTTCGAAGAACAAGCTTTTCATTTCATTGATCTTTTATTTATTTGTTTGTTTCCTTCTTTCCTTCTACTAATTTTGGATTTGGTTTGTTGTGTTCTAGTTCCTTAAAGTGCATCATTGGGTTGTTTATTTGGAAACTTTCTACCTTTATGATGCAGACATTTTTTGCTATAAACTTCTTTTAGCACTGTTTTTGTAGTGTCCCATAGGTTTTGGTATGTTCTGTTTCCATTTTCATTTGTTTCAAGAAATTTTTATATTTCCTTCTTAATTTCCTAATTAACCCAATGGTCACTCAGGAGCATGTTATTTAATTTCATGTATAAAACAGACTTCATGTCAAAAACTATAAAAGGAGACTAGAACATTGTTAATTCAGCAAGAGTATATGAAAATTTTAATATATATGTGCCTAACATCTGAGCACACACATAAACATAAAGCTAATGTTATTAGATCTAAAGGGAGAGATATGATCCAAATACAAGAACAGTTGAGGAATTCAACTCTGTATTCTCGACACTGAATAAATCATCTAGACAGAAAGTCAATACAGAAACTCTAATTTTTAAACTGCACGTAGGACCAAATAAGACCTTCCAGACAAAGAGTATTTCATTGATCAAATGCAACATACACATTCTTCTTATCTGCACATGGAACATTCTCCAGGACAGACCATATGTTAGGCCACAAAATAAGCTCCTACAATTTCTAAAAAGA